ATTGGTATAATATATACCAAAGGAAGAAATCATTTTCTCATAGCCAACAGGTTGACCATATGTGCATCAGGATGTCTTCTGAATACTGCAAATCCTCCGGTTGGAAGCTGTCCTCATGGCTGGCTGCTCAATCGCCAGACAGAGTCAAGGGGCATGTGAATAATGATTTGCAACAGGAAGAAGCATCCCATTGAGTAAAGGACTGCTGCCCATGAGCTCGAAGCCTCCATTTTCAGAGGCTTCCTAGATTTCTATGCCTTGCTGGGCTGCCTAACTGGCAGCAAGATGGGAGGAGTGACAGAGGTGATGTTTGCCTTCCTGCCCTCCTTTTAAAAATATTCCTCTAGACAATCCTCTGAGCCTACCTGAGGAGTTGTGCTGCTATGGGTGAAGCTATAGGGAGCATAGGGGTTCTGCTCTTTGCCCTCCACTCCACTGGAGCATCCCCTTTCTGACCACTACAGAGACATCTAAGGTCACATCTAAGGCCTCAGAGAAAGCGCGAGCTGCCATTCTCTCCACAATGCCTGTAGAGTGGTGAATGGAATAACTGGATCTCCAAGTCCCCTTCCCAAAGTCATGGACCCACCTGTGGCTTTGGGAGGGAGAATCTGATCCATGGACTGCTCTGCCAGGGACCACAGCTTTATGTCTTAAGTATTGCAGTGCTGAAGGGAACAATCACTTTTCAGTCTTATACCTAATGTATTCCTTAGGAATGCCAGGCTATAAGTAAGGCCGAGGTTTGATCAGTGCCATGATGCACATTAGATGGCTTTTGATTCATGCTTAGATTTTGTTGTTATTTTTTTTTTCTTGTTATACTAATCACTTCCATTTTGTGGTTCCCTTTCTGTGACAGCTGCTTTCCAACACATGTTGCAGAAAAGGTTTTCTTATCCAGGAGATTTTTGGGGGATTCTCCTCCCTTCTCCACAGCTCACCCCATAAAGCAGGGTTTCCTCTGCAGCATGTTCAGGGGCTGGAGGGGCTGCCCTGGGAAGGAAGGTGTGGGGAAGTCCACTTCTAACAGTGCACTTGATCCAGCTTCACTCCGGCTCCATCTAAGTGTTCCATGGGGAGGCTTTTTTACACATGATGGACTTAACATGCAGAGTTTACTGATAGGCCATGCCTTGGAGAACAGGTTTGGTGAATCATACAACTAAAGTAAGCTGAGAGTGTGACTCAGTGCCTTCTGGAAATGCTTTCAAAAGTGACAAAAATGTGGTCAGATATTTGAAAATGACAGAGGAATGTTGTCTGTGGAGTCACGATGGGTCGGGCACAACTTTGCGACTAAACAAAACAGACAACGTTTTAACACTGTTGTAAGTATCTATTTAAATGGTAACAAATGGAGAAGAGACATACATAAACTGGTCAAAACATTCCTCATCCTCAGGTCTAATACCTGATTCAACAACACTTGAGGGTCTTTGAGGAACTGATTAGAGCAATGGTGGGTTGGAGCACCCTTCTCAGTTCAGGCAGAACCCAGTCATTCCCTTGTGAAATCCTCAAAACAAAAAATAGTTTTGCCTGCAGCTTAAAATCACAAATAACCTGGTAGCACCTGATTGCCCAGGAAATAAAGAAATGCATCGCCTACTGATGGCTTTTTAAGGTCAAATAGAATTACACCTGCAACATGCCTAGGGACACTGTTATGTTAGGTACTCCAAGGCTGAGAACATTATTCAGAACAGGAAATGGGGCTTGAGTCCAGCATCAGACTAAGTAGGAGTGGAAAATGAAAAACGCAAACACCAGATGGAAGCTATGAAAATTATACCAAAGCACACAACTGATTCCCAAGGGTTGGCGGTTTCTGACAGAAGGTACTGAAATCTAAATATATTACTGACTATTCCCTTCTGCCTTGATCAGCTGAAAGATTTTTGCGGCTGCTTCTGCTTTGTTGGGAAAAAAAAAATCAGGTTTATTTCATTTTTTTTGATGTTTCAGTGATCTCAGCAAAATAATGTTTGGAGCAAAAATTCCCACTAATGCAATTTTCCATTAAGGCAAGATAGAGCTGTTATCTTTTGTTACTTTCATGGTTAAATCGGATCACTGAAGAGATAATTCAGAAATGGCTTAACACTGTAGTCTATTTAACTTCAGAGGAGGAGTTTTCATTGGCCACTGAATCACCTTTGTAGTACTAACCATTAGTGACCCATCGGTGTTTTCCGGACTTCTCTGAGACAGATTATGCTCTCACAATCCCTTAATCATGGAAATGTTTGAACCCTTTTCACAACATTTTTGTCCTCCAGAACATTTCATGTGTTTTCCAACCTTTTTAGTGTTTTATTTTTAGAGCAAGGAAAGTCTGGTACTAAATTTTAATCGGCAACATTCTGAAACAAAAACTGGGAAAGTCCCAAATCCACAATAGTGCCACAAAACCACATCACCACCTTGTGGCTGGTTTATAGCAAGACAGGGAAATACTAACACCAGGAAAAGCTCTCCCAGTAAAAGATGCATTTGTTCCTCTTGCGAGGAAAACAGCAGAAGGGGCCTCGGCAAAGCTTCAGAAAAATCCACTCATGTGGAGCAGCGCTAAGTTTTTGGCCATATTGTAATTTCTCGTGCAAGGCAACTATTTATTTTATCATCCATGAAAATTGCTGCTCCAGATAAATTGCCAATGTAGCCTTCTTGCTATGTGTGGAATACAAGGCTTGGTTAAAGCAAATGCTCTAGTGACGGAGCTCACTTGGCTTACAGCTGTTTAGGGCCAAGCCTTGAAATGCTAAGCAAAGAGCAGCAGCATATAAGAGAAAATAGGACATTAATAATAATAGATTATAGAATACTAAAAAGGCTGCCCTTTTCCTCAGACATATGAGCCAGATTGAAACTTTGTCAAATAGGTGGCTGGGTTGTTAAAATCATTGTACCTTCTCACTGGGGGAGACAATAATGCTAGGGAAAGTCAAAGACAGAAAGAGAAAGTGAAAGACCACCTATGATCTGGCTTGTCTCCATAAAAGAAGTCCCAGCTTGAGTTGAATAGCTGAGCAAGACTGCAAAGGACTGGATGTCTTGGAGGGCATCCATCCATTCATTCACTCACAGGGTCACCTAAGTCAGAGATGACTTGACAGCATGTAACACAAACAACGATGCTTATCCATGACTACTGTATGTTTGTTAACAGACGTTCAGGGTTGCCGTGCTTTTTTTCTTCACCGTGATAGTCTGGTATGCAACTGTACAGTTCAGTACCTGCATATAGTACCACAAACATGTCTTCCTATGTAGTCATTTGAATGTGGGGTTGGCAGGGGGCAGGTGCAACTGAGCCATTTCCACTAAGCAATCATAAGACAAACAATCCTTTGCTGAGATCCATGCTCCGAACATTAATCTCCTTGCTGCTTCCTGGTACTTGACTGAGGCATGAAAGTATAGCTGGAGGATTTTGTTTCACCTGAACACTATTCTCTTATTTTTTAGTGGTGCAGAACTGTAGTTCTGTAGTTCTGCATCATTAAGCCTTGCATTGAAATAGGAGCAGGTGCCAAGGACCTCTTTCCCTTAATCTCTGCTGAGGCAACCTTACTGCTTGCACACCTCGGCTTAATGATGCAGAATGCATGGCTGGCTTTGGCACAGGTCCATCTCAGACATTAAATGACTGCATGTTCCAGTCAAGAACCATGTCCCTTGTAGGCCATTTACAGACAGTGTCATTCAAATAATACGTAGAAGGCATAGAAATGCAATTTTCTGTGGTTATGTCTGAAATCTACAAATTTCTTGAGCTCCTCACAAAAATGAAAGATAGATACAGACTTAAAACAGCCTTAGGTCCTCTCTATCCCACCACCACTTTTTCAACTTTGAAGGATCATCACCTCATTTAAACCATGTGGGATCTTACTCTTTATAGAAAGACATTAGATGTCCTGATCAAAGGCTGAAAAATTCTGCAGAAGTCTGTGTGACTATGGGAGAGAAATAACTGCAATATTTGACATAAATCTGGGCTGTTTCTGTGCACACTTTGGTTCACACTAGCCTGTTCAAATCTGATCCTTTATGGATGGTTATGGATGCACTGCAATGCAGTTTTATCAAAATTTATCAAATTTTGGCAATGCAGCCAAACTGGGTGATACCTTTTGCTGGGGGCAAAAATGTGCTCCCAAATGTGCACATCAGTGGAAAGTGCACTTAAAATATATATTTTGGAGCAAATTTCACGCATTTTTGTGAAAAAAGTACTGCTGTGAAAAATGTTATTCTCCATGCAGGGGGAAGGGGAAAAAACCCTTCCCAAAATACCCCAGAAATGCGATGGAATGAGTGCAAATCTCAGTGAGAACAAAATTAAAAGATCTTGCCTTCCACGTGCACAGAAGGGGATGTTTGCAGAGTTCACACATGTGCAAACCAATCCTTTTGTCACACTAAATGGTGTCCCCTCACTCTGGAACAATTCAGTGTTGGATGTACAGGAAACAGCATTAGTTTAACAGATGAGAGATTTTACAGACCAACTCCCTGGAATGTTCATGATTTCACACCGCAGTCATAAACACACTTGCTTGAAAATTAGTTCACTGAAATCAGAGGGACTTGCTATCAGTTAAATACTTTGTGTATCCTTATGCAAGGGTTAATTATGAAATTTAAAAATGGAACAGGAATACCATGATAAATGGCACTGAAGAAGAAAGTACACGTGCCTCCGCAAACTGAAAATCATGTATGTACAATAAAGCTATATTTTCATCTATTTACCATAACTTCTTCACATACTGTGGTGATGTGAAAGAAACGACAAAAACAAATGTTATCTCGAGGACATTTTGTACTTATCTTTTCTCTTTTCTATACAGTTATATTTATCACTATCTAACTATAGATTAAATAATACTGATGGGAATCTCTGGTCGATACTAATTATTAAATTAAATATAGCTTGGTTTGCATGTAACAGTGATACATTTATATAAAAATATATGTATAAAAATATAGCATTGAAAGGTTGCTTTCAAAATAGCAATATCTGAGAAATATTAAATACAGTGAACTACACACAGGAATACCATATAATGGTGAATATGCAGAAACTGTATGGCACGTTTGCCAGCATGAAGTTTAGCATAACCAGAATTATTCCTGGGGTTTTGTTTAGCAAGAGTCCAACTAGAACATTACTTTCAGTATAAACATATTTATCCAGGCAACCTCTTTTAAGTGTCTGCTTCTATTCAAGGAATCCAGCACATGGAAAGCACATAAAGTACAAAAGAAAACCTTAATGAACACAGTGAAAGTTACTATGCAGAAATCTGAAGACATCTTAGAAGGTAGTGATTTTTAAGACTCTGTTCAATAAAGCAGGCTGTCTTCCTCTCAAGGAGCTCTTTGACATCACGACTGACACCTTCTTGCTTGGAATTACTGTACAAATTATTTCTGAGATAAATATGCAACCTTTTCTGTAAAACCACTACAAAGCAGCACACAGAGAGAAATGAGGGTCCATTCTAAATGAATTGTGCTATGTGCAAGGTTTGAGGCCAACACAAGTATATTAGAAAACAGCTCTTTTTATGGGCATAAATCTGTATTCAGCAGGATGAAGGTGGCAAGTTGGAAATGTACAAAAGTCCAGGAGAAATTCAACACCCAGGTCATGCAGTTGCTGAGCTGTGGCTGGAATCCAAAGGGGCAGTCCAGTGAGCTCAGCATGTGGCATCTGTAACTTCCATGAGGCTGCCCTGAACCTTTGGGAGTGACATTTGACAGCACAAGAAACCAGAGTCACAAAGACAACAGAAAACTCTTATACTCTAGCTGGGGCTTAGAACTTTCACAAATGAGGTATTTCTTGTCATTCTTTACAGGTATTTGTCGGTTCTTTAGATATATTAGGATTGTGCAAGTTTTGCGTCTGCTTAGAAACAGCACTTTCAGTTAATTTTTTTAGAGCAGGGAAACTTGGGTAGCATTTTGATGAGCAGTTCCAATGGTGTATTTGTGCTATTCTGCTATACCACAGTGCCATCTAGAGGTTATATAGCAGAAAAGCCAGGAAAGGACAAGCAGGACTTGCGCAGTATGTAGATCTCAACTCTGCATGAACCAGAAGTAGATGCAGCAGATTAGGAGTTTCGTGTCAAAAAGCCCCAGGAGTGAGCCAGTGTGTCCCCAGTTCAATCTATGTGTCATTCCACAGACTAATTAGGGACACCTCAGCCTATCTATTCTCTAATCCAAGTCAGGCCAAGGTTCCTTCTCTTCTTTCTCTCTTTTCAACTGCCCCATAAAATAAATGGCTCTCTGTAAGGACGCATGCCTGGAAGCAATCCAGGTAGATGCTGTTTGCTTTTTCTTTTCCATGGGGCAAGAGTATGATTCCAATTAGCAAAGCAGTTGCCATGTGGGGCTAGGGTTAATCTGTAGCCCTGATATGTATCAGCTCAGCTCACCCTGACCCACCCAGGTTGATTAGGGCCAGAAAAAGACATCATGACCTCCCTCCATGTTCATGTCTTGGGGGCTATTGTGACTACAGTGAGAAGGGCTGATGCCATCTTTCTCTCAATGCAAACCTTAGAAACGCATATCTAGTTCCACCCATACAAATACAACACCTGCTTTTAAATGCATATCCCTATACTGCCATCTTGCAATGTCATAAAGCTCTTCAAAATGGAATGCAATTTTTTGGTTATATATAGGTGATATATCATTATACTCTGTACCTATATTTGAGCACTATCTACAAAATACATTGAAAACATTCTTTCCTTTCACACAATATTACATTGACTTAACTTACAATGGTTTTAATTTTTGGCCACAGTTCAAATAACTTCTCTCTCCCGTCCTTTCTTGTGTTTCCCTGTCTCCCATTCTGAAACCACAGCTCTGTGGAGACACATCTTGATTTTATAAGGCTTTGCAGAAACCGCCACATGTCTTGAGTTACGCTGGTATGTTTAGCCACTCAAAGTGTGTAATAAATCTGGTATGGACCGGATCACCACATGGGAAGGCAGGGCAATGTGAACTCTGCATTTCAGCCAAACGAAGTTACATTCCAACAACCTTTCTGTCATATGCGCAGATCCTGCTGAGGAGTATTTCTGAATACACTTGGTTGATTGGCCCCCGCACGTGATAAGGGGACTGAGAACTGGATGCGTAGGCCTGCAGTTTCATCAGGTTGTTCCGGTTGTTGAAATATTTGCCCAGAGCATAGGGCCTTGATAACGTCATGGCCACGGGATCACTTCCTTCAGATGTTTTGGATTTCACCACCTGAAAATGAAGACATTGAATTCTTGTGAAACTTTCATGTTGGTGCTTCCAGGAAACAGAAAGAACAAGTCATCTGTGTAAGCTCAACAGATGGATACCTAAGCATGACTGCTGTTTGATTTGGGGTTTGTTTAGAGGCCTTATAGTAGAATCTTCTCCCTGGTTTATTAGGGCTGGCTGAGGACTGGATGGCAGCTTGACACCTCTGCTGGTGTAGCTGAAGCAGAAGAAGGGAAAGCCTATCATAATTTGATGCTGTAAAGGGGAAGATGGGTGCTGCTGCTGTGTGCAGTGGGGAAAGAGGAGACAACTTACATACAAATTTGACAATTTGCATTTTCTCAGGAGTGGAACTTGTTCAAAAGCCTGCCACTGCCTATACTTCAAATTGTGCCTTCAGGAATGCAACAATTGTTCCTATAATACCTATCTACTTTGCACAGTGACCAGCCCATATCAAACCAAATAGTTATTGTTAATATTTTTTCAGAATAAGACCTAATCAGTACCCTTTCTTTGAACTCAAAACTGTAGGACAACTAAAACATCCCAGAAGTCATGAACTATTCGACTATTAAAAAACACTGCTATTTTATCATAGAATTTTCTAGGTATCCAGGTGAATTTCCACTGGGGAATTCATTGCAGCTAAATGCTCCCATCCTGCTGTCTAGACTATGCAGACCTGTTTCCACAGGTTTTCCCTCACACTCAGACACTTGTCACTGTGGAAAACGTGAGTCATCGCCTAGCATCACTCAGCGCTATGTCATCATTTGGCATCACTCATGGGGTCCTGGGGCAGTAAAATGGCAGCCACACCACAGGAAGGAAAAAAGCCCTCCTCACAGAAAACTTGATGCCAAAGACAAAGGTTCTTAGCTTAACCTCTCCCTGCTATCAAGCTATCTATCTGAATAGGTGCTGGTAAGTATCGGCAGAAATTGTGCTTATATTTTTTTAAAGAACCATTCATTCGCTTTAGATCCCTGCTTATGTTGTCATATATTATATCATCATTGCATTTCATTTATATCACTTGTATTTGTAAGCCGCCCCGAGGCTTTGGCAAATGGGGCAGCCTAGAAATTTTCTAAATAAATAAAAGATCCCATTCCTAACTTTCTTCCTTTAGCAAGGAACTCCGAGCAACTTACAAGGTTCTCTTCCTCTCTTTTTGTCCTCACCACAACAACTCTGTGAAGTAGGTTGGACTGGGAGACAGTGCCTGGCCCAAAGCCACATAGAGGGCTTCATGGCTGAGTGGGGACTAGAGCCTTTGAGTCCCAGCCTCGCGCTCTTAACCGTTGCACCACACTCGCTCTCTTCTGCCTCTCTTCTGATTGAGCGGAGCCATCCTGATGCACAGGTGGCAAGTGAACGGAGCTCTCTCGCCCTGGGGAAAAGCACTCTTGCCTCAAATCAGGACTGTACTCTACTCATCCTTCATAATGAAAGCAGCGAGGCCTTGTGAAACCTGCCCAGGAAACAGCAGGATTCCTGTTGAAGCCTTGTTCAACAACTGCATACAAAACCTTCTATTACTGTGAGGAGAGGCTGAGATTTCCACAAAGGGATTCGCAAGAATTTTTCAGTCAGTAAGGCCCCCGTTGCCAAAGTGGCATTACTGTGCATTGAGACAGAGAGGAAGATGCAGTTGCTGCCCCTTTTCACTTCCAGACAACTTGGGCATTTTGACACGATTGCCTGTTGACCTGTCTCCTCCTATTCTGAGCTGTTTTCATTCTGAAATGGCACATACACGGTAATTCCTGAGCGCCCAGTCCTGCTTATCACAGTAGGAGGAGTTGTACTGGTTTGAAGTCAGATACCTGAAACCAAACAAGTTGATGCAGCTGCCTTTCCTCTTCATTTCATTGCCTCTCATCTGCTCTAGTCAAAGCAATACGCTGAAATGCTTTGAAGTGCTACCCCATATTTTTCATTGAGGCTGCTTAAGAAGCACAGTGTTTCCATCAAGTGATAACTTTAACAGTATTGACAGTATTTCCATAATGGACAAAGTATTTATAGGTTGGATAACAATCTTATGCATTTTTAAGACAGAAAAAATCCTAGTCTAAACATCCAAAAATGCTAGTCTAAATATCCAAAGGTTTGCATCCTAAGATATTTTGAAGAAATGTAGGCATCTCTGAGATGCTCCAAGGTTTTGGGATGGCAACTTTCTATCTTTGTCCAGTTAGGCAATGGCAGGCTCTGGGTTTACAGGTGTTTTGAACCCCAGAGGTGAATTCAATTTTGGAGGAACATCTGGGGACTGCATCCATGGGGTGGGCGATGCTGAAGTCAACAGTGGCAGGCTCAAAAATACCAGTGCATTCTGATGCAAAGCTCTTACTGCTAGTAACTAAGAAGGGCATTTCAGACTCTTAAAATGGGGGGAAACCTGCACAAAAGCAGAGAATCCGCTTGACAACTGGCAGCTGGGAAAAAGGGGGTGGGACCAGGAGATGGTGACTCTCTGCTACACTAACCCACCCCCATCAACAGGGGTCAAGCTCCATTATAAAATTGGCATCACCCTGCAGTCATGACTTTCATAGTTATTTAATAGATGTATATGCCTCTTAACAGATTAAAAATAGCTCTCAAGTGAAGAAAAGTTACAAGGCAATTAAATAAATTTAGATACATTATAATATACATGAAACTAAGTACACTTAAAATACATAGTAATTCTGAATACATTTTAAATAAAACATTAATAAAAGCATGAAAACCAATGCAACACCTTAACTACAAACTGGATACCACTCACAGAAAGCCTAGGTGTGGAAATGAGTCCTAATTAGTGCCTCAAGCAGGCAACAGTTGGTGTCTCCCAAGTACCCAATCAGCAAGACCTCCTCTAATGAACTGAATAATCACACAGGTCTGCACTGGGGAAGGCCATCTGCCAGGTCCTGGTCCCAATCAGTTCAGGGTTGTGTATGCTAAGTGCAAGAGCTTGTCCTTCACTTGATAGCTAATAGATGGCCAATGAAGTTGCTTCCAGGGCACAATAAGATCTGTACATAGTCAGGCGATCCTGGCTGCTGTGCTCTGCACTGGCTTCAGCTTCAGGACCAAGCACAAAGGTAGCCCCACATCAAGAACATTAGAGCCATGGAGTGCATGGAAGTATGTGCAAAATCCAGTAATGAGAAGTGTGGAATATGTCTGCTCCTGAGAACATTCAGGGCAGGCCGGTGACTCCTTTTTCATTGCATCATCCATGCTGAGCTTCAAAGGAGCTGTCCATGGTACTGAACTCCACCCAAAATCAATTCATGGTGCACCATGCATAGGTCTTATAAACCTCAGCATAAAAGTTGCAACGGATAAGAAGGGGATATGAGAATATGTTCCTTTTCCCTATGAGTAAAACAGTGGACAAACTTTGCCTTGTTTAATATTTTACAGGGCTGCTCTCCATTTGTCTATTTCTGGCTGAGAGTCAATTGGTTTAATATAGAAAAAATGCTTAAAGCACTGTAAATGGCAGAGTGGAGAACCACTCATCTTGAATAACCACGTTATACATGTTAGAATCATGAGAAGAGGACGTCTGTTTGTCCTGTAAATACACAGGGACAAAGGAAGGTGAGCTTTAGCATGTCGATTTTCAGCAGAAGAGTCTGGTGCTGGTTTGGGGGGCCCTTCTCAAAGCGCCTGCATCTCACTTCCTAGGAGTGCAAGAAGCAGGCACTGTTCTTTTAGCCTGCCCAGGATCACCCTGCCACTCCATGTACGTTTACTCAGTAGGGCTTATTCCCCAATTAGTGCCTACAGAAGCGAGCATAAAGTTGTAGCATTGGGTATCCCAATGCACTCATATTGCAAAAGTTTTCAATCTGCTAGCAAATGCAAGTTCCATTTTGTTGGTTGAAGAGCAGATAGTAAACAAACAAACTGCCCTAAATCATTTGCTAAAACGAACATTGACAAGAGATGATTACCTCGTGAAAATGGCACCCACATTTTCCTTGCAAAAATTCCTTGTACCGCCCCATAGTAACAATAAAAGTATCAACCACATCATAGCCATATTGTTTTGCAGTGTTCAGAATAGCTAGATTTTCATTCCATAAATTCTGTACTTCTGCCTGCAATTTAAATCAAGAGATTGCACATTATCTTTTCAGTTTCCTTATAGACTTCAGTTAAACAAAGACATATCATAACAGAAGTAGCCTACAAACAATATGTACAGACATTTTCTGGAGAAGAAAATCTTAATTCTTCTCTCTTCAGGCCTCTCTATTTGAGGGTCTTAACCCACAAATTTATCGAGTGTTCAGCTTTCATTGTGGGGAAAAATGTGTCTCTTACATTTGGGGTTCCTCCGCCAGAGATTTGAATTCTTTTTCTTTCTATATATTCTATCAACTAACCATAAGATGGCACGATAGCAGATTTGCAACTTCTTGCAATGCTTTTGTTTCGGATTGTTGCTGTTTAAAATGTAATACTGACCTTTCTGTCAGGACCTGCAGCAGTAACTTGACTCCCCTGGTGGCACGATTATGAAGGGCAATGTGGTTCACTGGATAACAGCCCGCAGGATCAGGATCAGACCCATGGGTGCTTGCAAGAATTGGAGCCTGTGCAATCATATAGTGCAGCTGGGGGGTTTGGAAAGCTCTGTGACAGCCCTTCCCATGCTGCTCAACTTTGCCAGAACAACATGGGCTTTCATGGTGGCTGCAGCCCCTTGCTGATCCTGTGTCCAGTCTTACCCTGCCCTGGACTCCTGCCTGTACCTGCCTGCCCTTGCGCTGGTCTGACCCCACCTTGCTGGGTGTCTGATCCTTGCCTTTGTGTCTAGGCCTGCCACGCCTCACTGCTATGAGCTTGCTTGTCCCTAGCTCATCCTTCACCTTTGCAGCTTCCATGCCTTGCTGGATACCTGACCTTTCCCGTGTCTGGTTTTGCCTTCTTCTGTGGACCTTCCAGGCTTTGCTGGGTATCAGGCCCTTGCTTTCTCTTGACACTGTCTTTGCCTCTAGTCCTGCTATGCCTTGAAGGTATGTGACCCTTGCTTGTTCCTGGCTTCTTCTTTGCCTCTGCCCCTATTGCACTGCATCAAGATTTCTATCTGCTTCCATCACCCTTGGTCCTGGTGCCCCAGCCAGTAACACCTGGTGCTATCCTGAGACGAGTTGTGGGCCACCACACCGTTGGCTGGTTCCCATGACCACTAGAGCTCACCATAGTTTACATTCATGATGTAACCCTGTTAATTCTTCAAAGGTTATGCAAAGGTTGCTTAATCCTCCCATAAGCCACCCTTGCTAGGTTGACACAACACAATAAACCACAGTGACCCCCTCCTGCGGCTTGAATATTCCAAAGGAGGGTGGGCAGACATCAAAACCTACTATGTATGCAGGGCGTTGTAAAACTATTTCCCCCCTAAACATTCATGGGATTATGGTTTTAGTCACACTTAAAGTATATCAATTGAAATCAATAGAACTGTAGCCATGCATAACTAAAGTCTCATTGATCTGAGTACACACCCAAGCTCTCTGCTTTAATCACCCCCCTCCCTTCTTCTCCTTGTTCTGTTTCTCTCCCTGTGTTGAGTTTTGGATTGCAGGCTGCACAGGGCAAGGCTGTTACTTTGCAAAGTGCCCCTTGTCTAAATGGCATTATCTAGATACTGCTTCTATGTCATTGTATAAACATGTTTTCAGTTTGGAGGTGGGTACAAAGTGTACTTCTTTCATCGCAGAGTAATTATAGAAAGTCCCATTCCCAAAATGCAGGGGAAAGGCCTTCTAAAACAAACGGCCCAAGCAGATTTGGCCCTGCTTTCTATTTTTCTATCATCAGCACTGCACTGCAGAAAGATTAAGAAAATGACATAGCCAGTGCCTGCAGCCTTCCAATGTAATTCAGGGGTGTGTGCTCTTTTGGGTTCTGGTACTCAAAACAAATTCTGGGCTCAGAATGTTCCACTTTAAGTATATTTCTTTTGCAGCAGGTTCCAACAGATTCCAGCTTGGAATTGTGAGAAAAAAGAAAAAAGAATGAGAGACAATATCCTAGAAGGCAGAGTCTGTCTGTTTTGATGGAATAGTTAAGATTCAAAAGGGGGGAAGGGATAGGGACAGATGAGAATGACACACACATTCAAGCGTTAATTCTTGTTTTGTGACCAGGTGGAATGGGCACCTCGAGCATTTCAGTCTTTCAGAATGGCAAGAGGTGGGTGGGAAGCCACTAAAAGACTGTCAGTTGGGAAAAGGGAAAATCGCCATCTCGGAAATCCAGGTGGGGCAGATTCCACCTCCTCCAGTCTGATGTTTTGCACCCCAGCCTTAAGGCTTCACTCTGTTGGCTACCTACATTTTTAAAACAGTTAGAATAAATTCTTGAGCCATGGTTTAAATTTAAGCAGCCCCAAATACCCATTGCATATGACCAAGTACTTGGATTTAAAACCAATATAATAGTAGTGAAGATACTCAACTGTAGCCCCAACACTTTCAGGACAAGCATAAAAGTTCTTACAAAGGGCCTACCAGCACAGTTTGACAAAGCATATTAAGCTGATGTGCCATTCCCCTGCATGCACATTAAAATAATTCTTAAGACCAAGATGCAGTTTATAGGCACAATTGATTTAGCAAATGATAATTCAAATATAACCTACCGGTGACAAAGAGTGTATTCCATCTACTGGCAGATGAAAGCCCATTCCCAAGGATTTTATTATTACCAGGATATTTGAGAGATTTGTTCTACAGATCAAACGAATCAAATATATTTTGTTTACAGATTGTCAAAACAATGTACAATATACAGTTTCAAAAACTAATTTCTTTGACGTTTTCTTCATGAGACTATAAATCAGCTACTTTTACTTGTGTTGCAGAATCTGACATCTAAGTCCTGAACAAAGAACATTTCCTTCTCTGCTACATAACCTGTAGATGGCAGTGTGGCATACTGGAATAACACAAAAAGAAATTGCTCTGCCAGTTTCACAATTAAATGCCACATTTCTCTGCTCGAAAAAAGTCTCACCAAAAGCAGTACATAGACACAGAACTGAAACTGGAAAGTCAGATCATTGTCTAAAGAACGCATAAACAACTATGACTAGGGAATGAGAAGTGCATGAGAATTATCTTGTGTAGGAAAGTTCATTATCTTATATAATGTCGAGATACAATGCAGTGCAGTTTCACAGCACACCCTTATGCACGTTGGTTCTGAAGTAGGTCTCACTAAATTTAGGTGAGTGAACCTAGGATTGCAGCCTTTTGATGTGTTATCAACATAAATTATTTCTGGTTCAGCAAAGCTTTAGTGTGAGCTCTTGATGAAAGGACCTCTAACGTCACTTCATACTTCCCAAGGACAATAAAGCTTGTGGCACGTGTGGAGATGGTGCACCAGTATGAGCAAGGAATGCCTTTTTGTGAGGATGGAAGCTTGCAAACCTTCTGGAGAGGGGCAGGCCCCAGAGGAGTACAACTCTCTGCCTGCTGCCAGTAAAAGGGATTACTCAGATGCAGAATGGGCCCAGGGATTGAGTTCCTGCAAATTGGAGGCATAGGTAAGAAAACCCTGGGATGTATCCAGATTTAAACATGAGTGACTGGGATGGTGGAAGTGGACAGTCCCCCCTCCTGTTTCCCATGGCTGCCCTGCCAGTCCCCTGACATACTACAAAGACATTCAGGAGACCTTGCTGGATAGACTGAGTTGTGGGGTACATCTGTGTGTGTGTTGGGGTGTGTGTGTGTGGGGGAGAACTGAGAGGAGTAGCCTTCCATGAACAAAGCCTTTCCTTTCATGGAAGGTGGATCATGGATCCAGGATGTACCTTGGGGTGTAAAACAAACTCTGGCTTCCCAAGAAAATCCCAGCCTTATTGGTGAACAAGAGCTGTTCAGAGATAGCATTCTTGTTTTGCCTTGAGATTTGGTTGTGGAGTTAGTGGTTAAATTGAAGGGAAGCAAAGGCAATTGTTTCAGCAAGACGTACATTCAGAGGTGCACTTCTATCCTACCACACCACCCACAGAAAACAACGCAGTATGTCCTGTTCACATCTGCAGTCAAATGAATGTTCTGATGTGCATCTATTTTACTCCCATATATTGCAAATATCATGCATGTAGAAAGCTGCTTCATTGAACTCGGAGCAGAAAGCACTGGCAGTGGCCCAGAAGGTCTTCTTCCACCTCAATTAATTGTTTTTGTGGCTCTGATTCACATAGCATATTATATATTTTTAAACACTGCATTTAATTCATAGGAATTTATCATAAAAATAGGCACTGCAGTGGGAAGTACCATGCCCCCAAGAGAAACATAATGTGCAATGATTTGAGGATCAACGTGTGTAAACAAATACTAAACATATGGAGAACAATATTGGAAATTATTGTTAGGGCTACTAGCAGTTGCTTCATGTGATGAGCATGAAAGAAAAGAAAATCTATAGCACTAACACTTACCGTTTAAGTACTTTTTGAATAATATGTAAGTGATTGAAATTAAGCCACTGGACACCTCCAACAACCAATATAGTCTGGCCTGTGTTCTCAAGTGGCTGTGATCTGAAATGAGAAAGAAAGGCAAAACCACAAAATGAACTCTGCCTCAGAATCAGGACAGATGGCACATTTTTAGCAGCAGTGCATCCCAGTTCTCTTACAGATCATTCCTAGCCACACAGGACTGAGGCTCCGCATATTCTAGCTTAAGTATTTATTAAATACTTCTCATTTTACTTCCATAAATCTATGAGGCACATTTGGGAAAGTGGCATCTTCTCTGTCAGGGAAGACCATTTCAGTCACACAGTAGAATATCAGTATCTCACAGGTAGTGGTCGCTCACAGTGACCTCTGCAGTGGTGTGTGTTCTTTCCCACGTGGAAATTGCCACCGAGACCCACGTGTAAATGATGTAAATTCTGTAGTTATATAGTACTTGTGCCACTATGGCAAAATTGGATACTTTTGACTAAGAGCATAGCAAAATGATAATGGGACCAATTACCTAGCATGGTTGTGGGCCTGTCCAGATGCCTGCAATTCAAGATGCAGCCGTACAGCGATCTGTTACGGTTGTTATAACTAGGAGTCCTGCACTGAGCATGGTGCTGGACCTGATGGTCATAGTGGGCCCTTCCAACTCTACTATTCTACGATTCTAAAAACATCCGGGTGCAGAGGAGGAGAAGGGAAGAAGAAATCTGTATGAACTGTGGCAGCTCTACACAGGGAAAGCGGGATGTAAACTGAGAAGGAATTGCAACAGCTCTGAGTTGTAGTAGTTCCTCATTGCCAACAGCACAGCACATCACGTAATGGCTCCCCCATAGACTCTAGGTCTCACGCAAATTCCTTCCCACACCTAGCTTTGGAATGCTGGCATGGAGAGGCTGCCAACTAGGACAATTAGCAAACGATTGTCCAAATGGTAAGGACCCCTTGCCTGCAAATGTTGCACTGTACCTGAGTAACAGCTGCTCTAGAGCTTCTTCAAAGGTTGGTCTTTGGTTTACATCAATCCAAAACTGAGGGTAATATGAGTAGCTAATGAAAGTGTTCCCATTGTTTACATTAGGATAAAACTTCATGTCATGAGCCTTTTGCCATTCTTGAAGGGTCTCGTTTACTCTCTCTATCAGGTAATACATCATCCCTCTGTTAGTTGAATCACCAATGAAAAGAACCTTTAAAGGCAAAAACCATACAGTGTTTAACATACAGGCTGGCCTTCACAGAACTAAAGCAGCTTATCTCTATGTGCTTTGGTTTAAACAGGGTTGCAATTAGAGATATGCACCCTACATGTATAACAGCAAATTTTCTGATGCAGTGTAAGTATCTATTCCTATTTTTCAGTACTGGTATTCCAGTTCTAACTCTGGCAAGACTTAAAATGTCCCTAGACGTAGCTGTTCTGTGACAGCTGTCTGTCTGAAAATAATACAGCACACGGCTTGAACAAAAGGGGTGTGCATAGAGGTGTGCAAAGTTAATTCTGTAGTTAATATAGTACTTGTGTCACAATTGCTAAATTGGATGCAGATACCTGGGAGTGATAATAGCTATTTACAGTTGAACTGATGAAAACCAGTTGCCCGTATCTTTAGGCAAGTGCCTGGAATCAGTATTTTCTACCCCTCTGTTGTTCCCCAGATTTCAAAATACATTTCAGGTGCTGTGCACATGTAGTGCTACATATAACTGTTGGATTGTGCTACTGACTTCTGTCTTCCTGTGCATAAAGATTTATTTATTCTTGCATTTTACAAAACAAAATGTAAACCACATCTTGAAGAGAAAACAAAAAATAAGCCAAATAAGAAATCAACAACCAATACTTCCAGTAACACAGGTGGTTCAGAAGCTGTGAAAGTAGCAGGGCCAATCCTAGACTCTAAAAAACGTTTCAGTCACATATACTGCCATGCAGCTGTAGCTGGCAATTCATTATTAGCATGAAAAATGGAATTTGGCAGAAAGTTACCACCAGAACCGACACGATGATCGGAGGTAAAAAGTCCACTACACAAATGTTTTCTTGCTAATCTTTAAATCTGGATTGCTCATAAAATTAATTTTGCATGTGAAAGTATGTTAGTTTGCAATTGACATGAAAATACGTATCACATCTCTCTCACTGCCACAATAGAGGCATATTATCTATTTTAGTATAGTGAGAACCTAATGGAATCTATCTGGGACAAGGATCCAAATATGAAGATTCCAGAACAGACCAGGGAGAGGAATCTAATCCAAGTGGAAATGACCCAAATCTAGTATAAGTCAATAGTTAAGCCCAGTGATGTCAGGAAAGATCAGGGAAGCTAAATCCACTCTTGAACTGAAAGTTGCCTCCTTTTCAAAGATATGCATGGCATACCCACAAACATTTACGAAGCAGAACATGGCACTTCTGAAAGTACTTGCCAGGTATAAAAACCATGTAGAGAGTGTTGAAGTAGCTACCACAAGGCTTCCAGTTACTTCAAACAAGCCTAAAGTGAGTTGTCATTGACGATTCAGTTAGCAGTTTGCTTTGTATTCTAGTGCTTTAAAATGTTATCCTTCCTGGAGTTTGAGTCTAGGAACAAGATCCAATGGGGCTGCTTCCTCCCACTGATTCTGTGGGTGTAAGCAGAACCCCACATGGGCCCATCCCATGAAACAACTTGGATTTAAGATGATCAAATAACAAATTACCTACTAAAAGCTGTAACAATTAGCATATTGCCCTGCACTGTAGAATACTCTGTTGCAGAATGAATTCAAACTCAAAATTAAGCAGAATTGAACTATTACTGATAGGGGCTAATTTACTGACTGTATGTGGGATTGTTTCCTGGTTCAAGGGCTGAATAGAAAAATCCCATTATGTTTAGAAAATAGGAGTATATCATAAAACATGAACAATAAAAGACCCGACAAGTAGAATAGAATTAATTTGCACAGATAGGTAAGATCATAATTCAGGTAAAGATAAGAACTGCAAACATCTTATCTCTAAAATGCTAATATATATGTTGTTTTTGCAGGTGAATTTTAAGTACTTTGGCAAATACTATTTTTAATATTTCCTCTTCTTAATCATACTTTGCTGATGGCATTTTATTTAAACATTAAAATGTAAATTCATTTTTTCAGAATGATAAAGTGTATGCTTCATCCCCTTTCACTTACAATGTAACTATGCAATTATATATACCTAGTTATTTGAATAACAACTTATTATTCATGACCTATTCCACATTTTAACTTTGTCTGAAATGTTGCCTCACACAATAATTAAAGTGTTATGCTTCAGCAGATCATAGACCTATTACAGTAAAAGTTAATTAGCCATAAAGTTATATGAGGTTTTGTCATACAGCTGTAAAATAAATTAAAGCACTTTTTATTTGGATTTCAGTTTTTCCCCCTACCCAGTTAAATTCATGTCATTCCCCATGTGGTTACAAGCTAACAGATGTAATATAGCCTTCATACACTTTGCATTAATAATGAGTTCAGAGACAAATTCCGACATATAATATGAAATGAAATGAGTTTTAAAATAATAATAAAAAACTCCTTCCCAGCCACATTTTCATTCCCTGCACATGACTAATTAGCTTTGCTAAAACACCATTAATCTATGTAGGCCCTCTTAGAAAAGGCTTTGGGGAATTTATAACCCCTTTTCCATGTCTCAGCCAATCTGCATCTATTCTTTCACTACAGGTGGTCCTGAGTTAGTACTGACAGAAATAACTCAAGCGCAATGTCACATGCAGGAAAGTGAACAGGCGATTTGAATACAGGCGGTTACAACTGTTAGTGGAAAACAAGGGTAAAGCGAGCTCACTCTACATTCCCAAAGGCATTCACTGGTTCCCCTGCACACTGAGCTTGCATTCATTGGACAACCCAGTGAGCTGTTGTAGCCTAAATTGTCTTGACACATGGAGCAGGTTCCTGTGAGAGTGCGCAGCACCTTGCCTTGCAGAAAGTTATCTGCAGTTACAACATCCTTTTTTCAGAGATGATTAATGCTGTACATCCACTTTCCATATTTTAATAGAAGATGTGTAAGGCTGTGATGAGCCACAAGCTGCCTCAGGGAGAATTTCTCAATGGAGACAAGCAGCTGGATTCAAAGCAGTGCAAGTGAGAACTCTGCTTGAGCAGCAGGACTTCCCTGCCCTTTCCCTCTCACAAAACCTTTCTACGCTTCCAAAAACATGTGGAATCTTCTGGAATTGTGTGGGCAGTTGTGTAGGGGAGAAACTTCGTATATGAAGAAGCACCATACGCTTGACAGTGGCAGGTCAGGATCCAAGCCATGTAATTTAGCGTAAAGGATAGTATTTGACATGGGTTTTAGGATCTAGCTTTTAGGCCTCAAAAAAGGAACATGGGGTACTTCTCCTTTAATGCTGTGATTAACCTAAAGAAAAGGTTAAGTCAGATAAAGGCCACAGTTAAGGGCTGCTTTTTTCCTTACAAGGACTGGACCCTAGGTTTGTAAGTAGAGAGGCTCATTTTCTCTAGATTATTTTTGATTAAATTATAGCAGTAAAAGTGACTATAGAGTAAGTGCCAGATTTCAGACTAATAATAATTCAGTGTATACTTCTGGATGGGAAGAGGAAAAAAGGATAGTCATATGAAACTGAAGGGACATGTGCTAAGTAAGTGTGGGTTAGTGTAAGAATATACATATCAGTATATGTTTACTTGAGATCTTTGGGAAGTTCCAGGAATTTTTTCCTGGATTTATTTCTAAGAATGCTCCCTTAATTTAGATAATATGTAGCAAAATCTGTAATGCTTCATTACTTACTTCTGGAAACTTGCATCACCTGCACCTGAGCCAGAGATTTCTGTCAGCCATACCATGCCTATTAAGAAGCACTGCGTTTCCAAGCAGCCATCTTAGAATCTTCACTATAAGTAAAGTCAGTCTAGTGAGGTCCTTCTGAGACCTGCACAGGGATGCGAAAGAAGACTTGATAAGATTAGTAGGCAGAAGCACTGGCATGCATTAGGCATCCAGCAAAAGAAACAGAGTGCATGCAAAGTGTGTCACTCTCTAACAACCACATATAGCAGTTCTCAATCTCGACCGATACTCAGACATCTCATGGATACTTTTTTTTACTATTTGAACCTTGTAAAGTGAAGACTTATTAAAAGTGCCAATGCTATAATTTAAGAGGGAAATATTAAATAATATCGCTTCCTTGTACCAAGTTTATGACATACCTTTTTTCTTTCTACACACTGTTGGAGCTCTGATTTGTTCAGGATGGGATATTGACAGTTGTGTGGCTGCCATGTTATTTGTCTCCAGTCACAGGTTCTGTTGTCAGAACAACTAAGACAAGGCACAATCCATTGTCCTAGAAAACAGAGGATTGTCATGCTCTGGACTCCTGTTAAGTACACAGTATTTGCTGTTAAGGAGAGGACGTGCTCTTGGATATAAAGAAACCTTCTCTGGGAAAGGATGTACTTATGCATGGGGACCACAGGCAGTTCTTGGCACAGAGAAATTTTCCATTCACCTACTCCAACAATGAATGTCTCATAAAGAAAGGAGAATGTGACCCAGTGGAGAAGGTTAAAAAAGCAGAATAGCAACTAAAGGATGGTTCACATATGGGTACACATCCTGAGAGCAGAAAGAAGTGTGGGTGGGTCAAAGATCACATACCAAATGTATCACTTGATATCATTGCAGAGACAGACTCAGATACAATGCAGTTCATTAGTTCATACATTTTGCTAAGCCATCAAGTGTTGAATAATCCTGGGAGGTATAGGCATGTATGAACAAGTCCCACTGTGCTCAATAGACTTACACCCAGATAGGATTAAGTATCAGAATACCTAGGAATTGTGAAGAATTACCTAGGAATAATAAGCTCCATGAGTGTACACAGTATTAATACATGATTATACATTAAACAATCATTTATTTCTTAAGAACTACACAGAATTAATTCTGACCTATGTTTTCCAAATCTTCAGCATTTATGTAAGGTTATAGTTATCAGGTGATGTATTAGCTTTTTTTAAACCATAACATAATTTTCCATGGTAGACTTAAAAGAACGTCCATATTAGGAGGAATAGGAATGCATTTCTGAACATGTAGAAACCGTTTCATGTACCTTTCATGTCCCCCGTTTCACATGTCTTCAACTGTGTCTCTGAAATGGTTGACAGGTATTCAGCAGAGAGAGGCTGCAAACCACAGGATTCCTCTGGATGAATGATTGAGCCACAATCCTGTATTGAAATGTTAAAATATAATTGGTTACTGTATAGCCAATCATACACAATAATTGTACATGATTGTCACATATGTCACATATGGACAATGAAAGGGTAATTTTAAATAAACATTAAGAGAAATGGGGCAGAAGTACTTTCCAGATTCCCATTGTTCAATACACATTTGTCAGAGTTAACTGGTCCTGAAGCATAACCAAAATTAAACACAACTTAATCTTAAATATGCAATTCTGTCATTTTATGGCCATGAGTCGAAAACTTATCCCATGTAGCCACACAGTCAAAATATTCCTTAAATTTCTGATAAATCTCCTGTAGACCAAGTGTAACACTGGTAGTTCCAAGATTTTTTTGAAGAAAAGATTTCTTTTGTAAAGTTGTCCTTGAGAGAAAGAAAGCTGTCTTCTATTGAGTCCAACCCTTGGTCTATCTAGCCCCATATTGCTGACACTGAGTTGAAGGAATTTTTCCAGCCTTGTCTGGATATGCCAAAGATTGCATTTGGGACTGCTTCATGCAAAGCTGTTGTTCCACCACTGAGCCAAATTACCTCTGAATACACTGTTTTATTTTCTGGTCTGGAATTATCCAAGACTGAAATAATAATGTTATTGGTTTCATATGCAGAAAGTAGGATAATAATGATGGTCACTTCTGGAGAAGAGACAGACGGCTCCAACTGTTTCACCCTCATGATAAATAATCATGTGGGGAATTTATGTCCCTGCTGTCCATTCCATATATCAAAGCTGACTGTGGTAGATGCTGAATTTTACTTTTGGGCTACAGAGAATGCCAGTTTAGAAACATAATTCTGCTCCCAGTACTGAGTGACAGTACTCTCCCTAACGGTACAGTTGGCTCTGAATGATATGTTGAAGTACACATTCCACAAGGGGTGCCTATTTCCTCTTCACCTTGTGTATTACTCCAGTCAGAATTTGCCTTATGTCACTTTTTATACTTCTCTTATATACGAATAAAGGAAATTAACAGTGCAATGTTTTTAGTACAATATGGACCTATATACTATGTACTGTATTAATTTGTGATTCATATCAGTTTTGAAGGCTCCATTTGGTCAGAAACTTGGTGCTAAAGGGTTAAATTAGTTAAAAATTGAATACAAAATGTTGGAGACTGCTCTTACATTTGAGCAAGGCCTACAATTCTATGGCAGATCACCTGCTTTGTTCACAGAAGTCTTAGATTCACTTCCAGGCATCCCAGATAGAGCTGGGGAAGACTCTTGTCTGAAACCAGAATCCAATCAGTGTAGCCAAGACTAAGCCAACAATCTGCCTTGCTATGAGGCAGTTTCTTATGAAGGACAAAGCCCTTTTTTGGTGTGTAAAACTGTTAGGAGCCCAGTCAGGAGCCTCTATGCCCAGAATTTCGACAGCAGGAAAGCATTGCCACCAACTGCACCATCAAAGACTTTGCCCACGCAGTCCAACAATTTGCACAAGGTATCACAGGGAAATTCCAAATTCCTGAATCACCTGCTACTGTTGTCGACAAAGTGTCATAAGAAAACTGAACGGGGATTTTCTTGTGCATGTTGCAAACATTTAAGTAATGTACAATAATCTTTGCTTTCAACTGATATCGCTGTTGATTAAGAGCATATTTGTCAAGATGTCTTCAATTCACCTAGATAAAAATGGCCAGTTTTTTAAAAGATATCTTTATTTTTTAAAAGATATCTGATATCTTGAATGCAGGAAGCATGCCGTACACGAGGGAGGACCAATCTTTTATGATCAAAGGCAGCTTTAATATTGCCTTGTAAAATGGATTGGCCAGAGGTCAGCCACTGACATTTACTCTCGCTCTCCACGTAAGACACCCCAAGAATTTTGTTAAGAGAATGTGGATTTGTCAAGTTCCTTACAGAAACTTGCAGTGCTGCAACATCCCCAATGTTTTATCCAAAGATGAAAGTTCATTCAGTGATGAGAGGCCAACAAACAAATGGTATTTCTTTTAACAGGCAGCCTCATTTTTTAAAAAGTAGTCAGTCTTTGAAATAACTGGAATGATTTCATAAGAACATTTGGTTGGGGGTATGCAAATCACAGTGTGAAAGCATGATACAATTTGTACTACCAGATCATAGAAGATTTGACGTGGAACACAAAAGAATCTGAAGAATTATGCTAACTGTACAGAAAGTGCAGTCTTCTATATGAGCTTTTTTATATACAAGCCTGTTAATTCACTTGACATTGGTTTCTTTACATAACTGAGATCTGAACACTGTGCAAAGATTTTTTCCTGCTTTTCTCCTATATAACCTCTAGTGTCACTGTAGCGCATTCACACAAACAGAGTAAAGTTCTTTCACTTGCATGGATGATACTGCATTTTCCAAACTCTAAAATAGTTCTCCAAACCTGTTTTAAAAAAAGAAGCAACCTTGATTAAAGAACCTGCAAACAGTCATGAGTAGGGAATGAAAAGTGTATAATTAATGCCTCTGCACTGAAGTAAGCCCCACTGTGGAAATGGGTTTATTCGTAATATGTAGGTTCAGGATTGCTACTTGAATCATGTTGCTATTGGTTTAAAAAACTGAATGTACTGGAGGTTCTCCAAGAGTTCCTCCTTGCACTAGGTTTGCTATTACGGCATTTTGCAGAGAAAGGCACCAAGGTAGATTTCAAAGGGAATCTGTATTATAAAGTGTATTGTTCCAACTGGTTGAAGGCAGCTAATTTTAGCAGGGTCATGTTAGAATAAATCCAAGGAGCTTGCACTGCAAATGGACTATATCTGTCTTTGTCAATCTGTGCAGGCCATTTCCTTACATAGACCTCATATATATCACCCACTTTCTCTTACAAAGCATGCTCAAATATTTAATAAATATTGATCCCAGAAACATAGTAAAACAGTAAATGAAAACTTAATTAAAATGAGATTTTTTTCCAGTTTGCATTTGCTATTCTAAACTGTATTATGACTGTGAGGACTTTAAATATTTTAGCCCAGTAGATCACCTTATTTAAAAGAAGTATGACATGTAAAAGACATGAGTTAATATGTGTTGAAAACAAAGAACAGTTCCTTCACGTGATTCTAACCACACCACCAACCTACAATTTTAAAGGGGAAATATTTAGGAATTCTCATAGATGTGCTATCACAGGCTTCTTAAGATGTAACCCTGTAGTTCAGCTTTCTCTGAACTACAACAACATCTTGCAGACTCATCTAGACCTTAGCCTGGCAATAAGTGATTGGATTAGCAAAATATCAATAATGAAAATAATAAGCACTTCAACAGAAAAGTGGGCCTGTGCTACACAGGCAGGGCTAGCTCTACTGTATAATGTTCTGCTCTCAAAAAATTAAAATAATTAAAATAAATAAAAAATATATCTCCAGCTTCAGTGAAGCGCTGGCAACAAGGAATGCAGCCTTCTCTATGACTTGGCAGGATCTAGTAACCTAAGACCCCTAGCAGCCTGACATGCCAATCATATTTAAAAGTTAGGAGAACAATGTTATTCTTCGCACTATTCCAATGTGACTTTATAGTCCTATCTCATTTAATCAGGGCAAAATGAAATTACCATCTGTAACTAATTGTACTTTTTGGGGAAAAACAAACACGCCTACATTCCTCATGAAGTCATTTCAGCTCTCTGTTTAGCCAGTCCATGACCATTTTTGTACATAACCAAAGTATGATGAAAAGTGATTAAAATGGACTATGAAAAGTATACTAATAAAATTAGACAGAATGAGCTCATTAAAAGTACAATAGTATCTCATTGCAAAGAAATAAATTATGAGCAGATGGATTAGATCCACTCTAGCAAGACGATTAATGTAATGGCAAATGAGAAGCAAATGCCACCATAATTGGCACTGTGGATTCTAGTCCGCTTCTCCTGCATTAGCCTGCGCCAGGGTTTAGCCAAATGATCAGTGTATGTATGCCCACTACTTTTCTTCGCTAAGCCACTTCCAAATACAATTGCATTCTGTATCATTGGGAACAGCGAGGTGGTTCAGACTGTCCTGCTATTTGTCTCTCTCTGTGGGGTGGCAATTTGCTGAAATAGCAGAATGCACATGTTCTTCCACACTGAAAAAGAAGTGCGACTGTAGGATTCAGAAAAGGATTTAAGGTTTGTTTAAAAGCAAAATGTTCCTGCAAAGCTAAGGCATTAGTCAAAGGGCAGGGTATGGGGCAGCTTCGCTGGAGCAGTTCATTTTCTGTTTATTTATTTTTGTCATTATTAACACACACACACAATTCTCCATAATAAACCTTGGCACATTCATAATTTGTCTGATCAGTGTAACTTTTGCATGCATCAACTGTATATTTTGGGGAAATGACATGCACATCCATAAGTCTTGAGGAGCTTTGATGAGCAGCAAAGGAGAGAAACAACCAACCAACCAACCTCCAAGATTAACATAGGAAGAGCTGTCCTGGACCAGACCAAGGTTTATTTAGTCTAGCACAGTATCCAACCCGCTGCCAGTAGGAAGCATGCAAGCAGGACATGACTGCATCAATTAATTAATTAATTGATTTCTATACTGCCCAACAGCCAAAGCTCTCTAGGCAGTTCATAACAGTATGTTAAAAATACAATATAAAAAAACCATATTAAAACATATTTAATCACCATACATTTACAATATCAAATTTAAAACAGATTTTTTGAAAAAATATAATAACTAGAAAAAAATCTTAAGACCTGTTTAAAACCTAGCAGGCTCCAGAAGCTACTTGAATGCCCTGCAACAGAGGAGAGTCTTTACCTGGCACTGAAAAGATAGTAAAGTTGGTGCCAAGCAGGCTTCGCTGGGGAGCTCGTTCAATGACTGGGTAGCTACCACTGAAAGGGCCCTACCTTTGTTGCCACCATCCCTTGGAGGTGGAAGTCAGAGGTAGGTTCCAGGCCCCAGCCCTTTCCTGCTGGGATCTTACAGCAACTGTCATACGGATGTTGCCTTTGAGAATGGCCCCT